AGTGATTGACATCATGAGCATCGATCCAAGCATTTGGGATGCGATGACATGCATCAACCAAGTCAGCGAGCCTGACCACCCGATTCCGTTAGTCGCCTCTTACGACAAGCATAGTCGCTTTTTACAGCAAGCATGTGTTGCTGAAAACTATTCTAACCCGGATCTTCGGATCAGTATTACCTGCAAAAACAACATGCAAATAAAAGCTACTTCAATTTCCAATGATAATTTACCCACCAATATACTTGTTATACTTAAAGGCTAAACGGTTTAAAGGGACCACGAAGTTGCGTTAAAGGGACCACAGATTTTGCGTCCCTTGGATGAGCCAGGATTCGCAAGTGGTGAATTGGTACCACTTGGCTTACCAAAATGACAAACGTCAACGATGTGCATCGCTTTGGGAAAGGTTGGGTACAACGGGAATTTTGTCGAATGCGGTGTTAACCCAACTCACTCACTCAACACAAATAGGAGGTGTGGTGTATTCCGGCAATGTGCCGTATCAACCTTCATGGCCATATGAGGGCACAACAAGTGGGTTGTAGGTTGTTTGGTTGTTGGAAATTAATCTCCTTGAAGTACCTAAACGCTTTCATCTTTTTTTATATCTAATTCATAACTGCTTTTACAGATCGATGAATGGACGTGGGCCTTTTCAGTTGAGCGTGTGTGTTGTTTGTGTTAATTTGTATGTGACAAACAATATTGTATAGCTATTGCCTTTCCTACGCTTTGGCATTTAACGGTTCCAAAACTATTCGCCCATTCTCAACTACAATTTTCAGAAATCAAATATCATTGGATTCCACTGCGTTAATCCTATTGATTTCTCTGTCCTTTTAACATCGTTGTAATCCTACCTTGTATAAACGTATCTGCAAACATACAAATTCACCATTCTGAGAGGTTGGGGCAGAGGGAGTGGGGGAGGGGAGAGAGTGAGACAGAGGGGAAAGGAGGGGAGAGGGGGTGATGAGAGACCGCGGAAGGGGGAAGAGAGGAGATGGAGAAGGGAGAAGAGAGACCGCGGAAGGTGGAAGAGAGGAGGGGAGAGAGGGGAGATGAGAGACCGCGGAAGGTGGAAGAGAGGAGGGGAGAGGGCGGAAGGAGAAGAGAGGAGGGAAGAGGGGAGATGAGAGACCGCGGAAGGTGGAAGAGAGGAGAGGAGAGAGGGCGGAAGGGTAATAGAGGAGATAGAGAGGGGAGATGAGAGACCGCGGAAGGTGGAAGAGAGGAGGGGAGAGGGGAGAGAGGGCGGAAGGGGAAGAGAGGAGGGGAGAGAGGGGGGAGGGCGGAAGGGGAAGAGAGGAGATAGAGAGGGGAGAAGAGAGACCGCGGAAGGTGGAAGAGAGGGAAGTAAGGGGAGAGGGCGGAAGGGGAAGAGAGGAGATAGAGAGGGGAGAAGAGAGACCGCGGAAGGTGGAAGAGAGGAGGGGAGAGAGGAGAGAGGGCGGAAGGGGGAGAGAGGAGATAGAGAGGGGAGAAGAGAGACCGCGGAAGGTGGAAGAGAGGAGGGGAGAGGGCGGAAGGGGAAGAGAGGAGATATAGAGAGGGGAGATGAGAGACCGCGGAAGGTGGAAGAGAGGAGGGGAGAGAGGGGAGAGGGCGGAAGGGGAAGAGAGGAGATAGAGAGGGGAGAAGAGAGACCGCGGAAGGTGGAAGAGAGGAGGGAAGAGAGGGGAGAGGGCGGAATGGGAAGAGAGGAGATAGAGAGGGGAGAAGAGAGACCGCGGAAGGTGGAAGAGAGGAGGGGAGAGAGGAGAGAGGGCGGAAGGGGGAGAGAGAAGATAGAGAGGGGAGATGAGAGACCGCGGAAGGTAGAAGAGAGGAGGGGAGATGGCGGAGGGGGAAGAGAGGAGATAGAGAGGGGAGATGAGAGACCGTGGAAAGTGGAAGAGAGGAGGGGAGAGAGGGGAGATGAGAGACCGTGGAAGGTGGAAGAGAGGAGGGGAGAGAGGGGAGATGAGAGACCGTGGAAGGTGGAAGAGAGGAGGGGAGAGAGGAGAGAGGGCGGAAAGGGAAGAGAGGAGGGAGAGGGGAAGGAGGGATAGAGGTCACATAAACAGAGATGAAGGGGGAAGATAGAGAGGGGGATAGAGGATGGAAGAAAAGAGAGAGTGATAGAGAGAGGAGAGCACAAAATTGCAAAAAGCCGAAACTTGCCAACCGGCTGGGGAAATGTAGATCATTAAGACATAACGTTACTTCTGCAGTCCGTGTGCAACGAAAGAATAAGCTTTAACTATTGACAGAAAAAAATGATACACATGGAACACAATTGTGGTAGCTTCTAGTAAAAAATATCTAAAGAGTACCAGGGAGGTACACTTTCCTTAATTGATTTATGATTGGTTGGTTGGTTGGTTTGTTTAACGCCGCACTCAGCAATATTCCAGCTATATGACGGCGGTCTGTAAATAATCGAGTCTGGACCAGACAATCCAGTGACTGATATCATGAGCATCGATCCACGCAATTGGGATCGATGACATGCATCAACCAAGTCAGCGAGCCTGACCACCCGATCCCGTTAGTCGCCTCTTGCGTCAAGCACAGTCGCCTGTTACGACAAGTAAAGTCACCTTTTACGGCAAGCATGGGTTGCTGAAGACCTATTCTACCCCGGAATCTTCACGGGTCCAATTGATTTATGAAAATAAACTGTATTACGACACCGAAGACACAGTACATTGATTAAATGTCTTTTTTAGGTCAAGCAGTAGTTGATTATCCAGATTAAAACCCTATTGGTATTGATAAAAATATAGATAGTCCTTTATGTGACATCCTTCTTCAGTTGACGCGACTAAAGCAACAGGGCCAGCTGGGATAGGGAACAGATTACTTAAATTAACTGCCACAAAATTAGCATCAATACTGGTAAACCTGTTCAATATGTCACTCCAGAATTCAACCTTTCCAGTTATTTGGAAAGAGGCATCAGTTATTCCTATCCAAAAGAAAGGGATTGAAAATGACTGTTCTAATTATTATAGACCTTTACCACTAGGTGAGGTGAGGTGAAATGGGGTTTAACGTCGCGTCCAAGATTATTGCACTTATATAGCGACGTGCATGTACGTGTGTGTGTTTGTGTGGCTGCTTGTACTAGTCCGAACTGATGCCGATTTATAGTGCTAGCTCACCGAGGTAACATGCCGCAGTTTAACATGAATACCCCACTCAGACACAGTATACTGACTCCGAGCCGACCAATCCTTGTTATAGCGCCTTAATGCCGAGCGCCAGACAGGGTAACAACAAGTACCATCTTTTAACGTCTTTTGGTATGACGCGGCCGGGGATCGAACCCCGGACCTTCCGCTCTCCGGGTGGACGCTCTACCACTAGACCACGGAGGCGGTCAGGGACATTAGGAAGAACAGCTTGTTGGCTTCAGAGGGGTTATAGCTCCAGCTTTCATGTATGATCAGTGCAAGCAACGTTCACTCGGTGCTTCTTTTCTTTTTAATTCTGGAGGATATTTGCTAGGTCATTAGATATTTTGATATAGTTGAAAGACATCTGGTCAATAAGTTGAAGTTAATTTGAAAGTCTTGAACAAACAGCATCGCGTTTCAGTGGAACCTGACAAGGTGATTAGTTTCTCTGTGATCAAAGTAAAAGTAGATGAAGTTTAGAAGATGTAGCAACACTATTATGAGGGCCTGGATTGTAAAAATGGAATCTCGTTTAAACATGTAAGATACACTTACATACACTGGGATTAATTAATTTCAATATCATAGCTTAAACATGATATGGATATTATATAACTGGTATTTGTGAACAAGCCAAAATGTTAAACATAACATTAAATGTCAATTCTATGAATGATTATTTAGTTATATAAGATAGCTACGACAAGAATCGCAAAGAACAATGAAGAACGAAGCGTGGTTTATGTAGCGGACATTAAATTTCCGAGTCCCGTGATTGGATTCGAACCACGAACCTTCTGATCAGAGGTCGGACGCCTCGTCCATATGACCAAAGAGGTTAACTCAGTCAGCAAGCTGACAAGGTAAGGATGTCATCTGTGGGATGACTCCACGCCCTGCTCATTAAAGAATATAACACTGCAGGGAAAATTAACCATCAGTCGTTTATTTCTTATATACTTAAGAACAAAAGTTCCTGTGACATTGAATAAAATTTAATGCAAAGTTATGTTTTTTACCAAATCTGAAACAATGTCAGTTTGCAACAGATAAAAGACTCCTGTAAGTGTTCAAATGGTTTATTTTTCCATACTGACTTCAGAAAATGCGTGATTTCATAAAAAAAACCACATGAACATGCCCAAATGTCAATTTACATATCAATAGCATGTGTGTCCACCTCTGGTTGCGATGCAAGCAACACATCTTCGTATCATGGAATGGGCCAGGCGTCGCACAAAGTCCTCTGGGATATCTGTCCATATCTGCTGGAGCATGTTTCGAAGTTCCTGGAGTGTCTGTGGAACACGTGTTTGATGCCGAAGGCGCCGATCCATCTCATCCCACATGTGCTCGATTGGTGAGAGATCAGGGGAGCGAGCCGGCCAGGGGATGAAATTCACGTTGTTTTGTTGAAGAGAATCCTGAACAAGTCGAGCAATACGAGGCCGGGCGTTGTCATGTTGAAAGGTAATGGCTGGGCCATGACGACGCAAAAACAGTAGAACAACAGGACCGATGATCTCGTCGCGGTAGCGCTGTCCATTGAGATTTCCCTCTACCACTTTCAAACGGGTCCTCTGTCTTGTTGTAATCCCACCCCATACCATAACGCTGCCGCCCCCGAACCGATCTTCTTCCATGACACAATGATTGACGTAACGTTCACCTCGACGTCGGTACACTCGAATCCGTCCATCGCCGTGGCTGAGGTGAAAACGAGACTCGTCAGTGAATAGAACTTGTCCCCACTGCATGGCCGTCCAGCGTAGACGCTGTCTGCACCACTGTAGACGTGCTTGACGGTGGTTTCCTGTCAAAATGGGACGTCTGGAGGGTCTTCTGGCGACAATCCTGCACATCTGAGGCGACGACGTACGATTTGTGCAGATATTCGTCGAAGGCCAGGGATGCTTCTTGCAGTCACTGTTGCTGGCTGGAATCGATTTTGTAGGTGTGTTGTTCGAATCCAGTTGTCTTGTCGATTATTGGTTACGCGTGGCCTGCCACTCCGAGGATGGCCTCTGACTGCATCCGTCTGTTGTCAACGTTGCCATTAACACCAAATGGTGTTTCTGTGGACGTTAAATTGTCTTGCAACATTACATTGACTCGATCCTGCTTCAAGCATACCAATGGCTCGCAGACGCTCATTTTCGGACAGGCGTGGCATTTCGTAATGTTGAATAATTGCGTAAATTTGTTGTTTTTCTGAGTGGTAGTTGTCAGCACGATGCCAAACAATGCATATGGAATCCCGTTAACGCACATGTTTTTATACCCATTTTATACCCATATGTAGTGAAATGCATGGGGCTTGCATAAAAGTCAAATTTTGCGTGAAATGCATGCTTTTCTGTAGCAGTTGCGTTTGTGTGACTTGATTCCATACATGTACTACTAAAATATTGGTGTTACAGGAACTTTTGTTGTTTAGTATATGAGATTTCAACATTATGTACACTCTTTATCGTTTGATCCTGCGTTGATTTGTTTCATGTGAACAATTAACTTGCCTTTGCATGTTTTTGTGTCGGTTCCACCGGTGGGGCAAGATGCGCGCACCTTTTCACCTGGTATCATCACTACTTGATAGTGATTTATAGACACATGCGCGTGATATAATTATAATTGTAATCTGCTTTTACCAGAGATTTCTTAGGGGGCACGGGTGTCCCAGTCGTCTAAGGCGCCGCGATTCGCGGTGCAGAGTTGCGTCCCTTTGGCACGCCAGAAACCTATGATTGTGGGTTCGAATCCCGGTTCGCCCCGATTATGTTTCTAGGTTTGTCAGCACCATACCCGTGCTCGTGGGTTAAACCGAAGTGGCAAACGTCTGAGACCTGCATCACTTCAGGCTTTCCTCCCACATTAAGCTGACACGCCGTGATATAACTGAAATACTGTTAAAAGCGGCGTAAAACCCAACTCACTCACTCACACCAGAGATTTCTTAATATTATGGAAAGAAAGGGGTTTTGTCGGCTTTATTTATTAGACATCTTGTCCAGCCGGTGGCACCAGTCAATTGTTGACCTGCAAACACGGGAACATTAAGAACAAGTACAAATATAGCTGCGGGCAGCGATGCGGGCTCTATGATTTCTAGAAGCACTGAGTCATTCAGTTTCAGCCTACTGGAATCCACTTTATAATACAGTGCATAACAGTATTGTATAATGTAATTAATAATTTGATATTTCACGGACTTCTTCTTTGATAAGCATTTAGAAGTTGGAGTACTAAGTACTGATAAGAATTTATGGATGAACAACTTCTTTATTACAATTAAGAGTGACGTTTCGGTGTAGGTTCTATCACCGTTATCAAGCAAGTGATATACAGAGTGTGGTTGACAAGTATCTATGCAAGTAGGAGGTAATGTTTATGCAGTAGAGTAAATGTTGTTATACTGCAGTAGAGAAGCCTGTTATGTACACACAAGGGTAGTGATGACAATCGTCGATGAAGTCAGTGGCAGAAAGAAAGGATGAAGCCAGTAATATAAACAACGGGATTATGGCTGATTGGGGTCTTTGATGAGTTGATGGTACGCCGGGGGTATGAAAATCAAAATCAAATATGGCCGCAACTAATAACTATCCCATCAAATATATCAATGTTTGATATTGTATGTACGGAGACAAATCTCAAAAAGTTTGGTAGCATTTCATGTGGTGGATTCAGAGTCGTATGCTTTTGAAGACCTGTGTACCCAAAACACACTGTGAAAACCCTAAATCCAAAATGGCTGCCAAACCACGTGGCCAATGGCCAAAGTTAAAGAAGAAAAGATGTCAAGCATCTAAAGCAGCAGGCACATGTAGAGTGTGAAAATAATCGGAGTAGCGGTTTCAGAGCAACGTGGCAAAATACATCTCATGCCAATA